TCAAGTCTAGTTGGCATAATTCTCGGAGATAGTACACGAGAAGGGCTGGTTAGAATGTGGGACGCAGAAGAACGCGTATGGATCAGAAGTTGGCGAACCGAATCGCGTATTGTTTGGAGCTCACAACCAAAGCGTCAATCGTAGTGAAGAACAAGCCTGACCTATGTTTTCTCAAGGCGATGCGGTACCCCACAGGAAAGAGCTCGCTGCTGCTGAGGGTGCGCGCGAACTCGCGAAGGAAATTCAGGACGGGGACCTAGATGACGACGACATGGGTGAGGAGGTCTGAACGATGTATTATTTATCCAGAAACTCTCGATGATCCTGGATGCGTATCATCGAAGTCCAAAAATCTCACTGGAATGCGTTTGAAAATGACTTGTGAAGAGAAGACAAGTGATATTGTTAGGCCATACAAAGGTGAGATCGTGGAGTAGTCCGTAAAAGGAGAAGGGTATACGAGGATGACTGTTAGTACATACAGGATAGAGAAACGATACAATGGGTGGCAATCTGAGTTCAACGATGATAATAAGCCTGTACGGACCCTCCTTGACCGCCATGACCCCCACCTGGACGTCCTTGACCACCTCCTGGCGGGCGGCTTGGGCCGCCCCCGTGCCCGTGGCGCTGAGCAGCGGCAAGCCGCGCTTCTTCAGCCAGCAGTAGGGCTTCCTCGGCCTGTAGTCTCGCTGCGCCCAATGCTGCAACAGCGTCCTCACTTGGGAGGACTCCACTGTTCATAGATTCGGGCAAGGATTCAGAGTGATGTGATGGCAGAGTATAGTAAGTGCTTTGGTTGGCATAGAAGATGGCAGCTGATGACGCTGGAGAGGTGCCATATTCAAGGACGTTCGAACTTTGCGCCGCCGAACCGTAGGAATGGACCGTACTAGGGGCATACATTCCTACCGGCGCGTAGCCTGCAGCTGCTCTGGTTCAATGTCAGGCGTTGACTAGGGACACAATACTAGGTAGCACGAAGACTTACGATATCTGGCGCTGAAGAGCATCGTTTGCGTTATTGCGCCGCCGCTCCTCGGCCTGTTCTTCATGAACATAAGCTCGAAGGGCCTGTTCCGCGGCAGCAGAGTTGGACTGGGGAGGTGTCAATAAGGCATGCTATCAATACCAAGAAATTCTCAGCTTACATTGTACAAATCAAGTACTCGGTTGAATTGCCTCCTCAGGTCCACCAACTCGCGGAGGTTGGTGTAGCTAGCGGCAATGACGTTCAACGCTCGCGAAACTCGCTGATTGAGCATCCTGCGAGTTCCGAAATTTCTGGAACGGGGAAACGCTTCCAGCTGTGTGCCAAGCCTGTGTTACAGTTAGTTATATTTTGAAGAATGAGAAGCATTCTACGTACGCCGCTAGCTCATCGCGCACAAAGATAGCGCCTCGAGTGGGCTGTGGGAGGTTGAAAGCTGGGTTGCGTTCAATGTGAGCACGTAGACCATTGAAGGCATCCTCTAACTGCCTATAGCTCAAGACTATAGTGCCTCTCGGGCGACGGTACTGCCCAGTCTGTCGACGCCACTCGGTGCTGTCGATTGGTGGGATAGGCGGGCCTGAAGGTGGATTTCCTTGACCACGACGATAGTCTGACATGGAATGAGATATAGAGACAGACGGTTGTGGTAGTGGCGCTGGGGGGGAATAAGCAAGAGTTCAGATCTGGGCAGCTTTTGGCCATTTTGCTCGAGTATTTAAAGGCTGGGGGCGGTAGAATTCCTCGTTTGGGTACAAGGTGAACCTCCCTAGAAACACGCCCGTGAGAGTCATCATATTCAAGCGCCCGATGGGAGCCGACGGGGAACAACATATAACGTTGAGTGTGTGTGCAAGTTCGCAAGCTTAGTTTGGTTCAAAGATCGACGACCCTGTTGCTTGGTCTTGCTTACTTAATGCTGTTGAACTTTCTCACACCACAATCTCTGAACGTTGCTCTCAAGTATCATGGCAGAAAATGCCTCGGCTGATCCTTTTGGAAGATACGCTCACGAAATGTCTTGGGTAGCCATTCAACCTTTTCTTGAATCACGCGGCTACCGACTTCGTCCACGCTTTCATCCCGATTGGGAACCTTCTTGGCTTCAAAAAGGACTGACTCGCCAGGAGGCCTTCCGACTTCGACTTGAAGACTCGTTGGTTATACTGGTAGCACGCCTATGTGTCGAATCTCTTCCTATAACTCATGCTGCGCTTTCAGTCTGTTGCCGACCTCGTTGACGCGATTGCACCTAATGGTTGCAAAGTCGTCTTAAAACGCGTCGTCAAAGGATCAAACGAAGAAATGATGTCTCTTCGGCTCAATTCTCTAGATAAGGAGGATCCTTCCAATCACTTGATCCCTCTGCTCGACACCATCGACTTACCAAACGGCGAACAAGTCATTCTTGTGACGCCTTTACTTCGTGGCATCTCTATTGACGATCCTTCATTCCATTGCCGAGAGGAGGCTATAGAATATGCGAGACAGCTTCTTGAGGTAGAGTACTCTGTCTTATTGTTTGATTACTTGCTAAGAAGCTGTATGCCTAGGGTGTTGTCTTTTTGCACGCCCACAATTTCACCCATCGGTAAGTTTTCTGAGGAGTACTCTTCGACGTCTGACACCTTACAGTGACATTTGCGTATCAAATGTACTCATGGATCCTAGCCGGGTAGTCCCCAGTGGGTTCCATTTCGCTGCACCCTATTTACGATTCGAAAGCAACAAGCGTAAGTCGATCAAGACACGCAGACGTTGTCGGGTCCAGCCCGTCAACTACTTCTTCATCGACTTCGAATCCGTAAGCTTTCATCCGGAAGGTCCGGAACACGCCAGGGCGCTTGGTCTCTTTGGACAGTGCAATATTATGCCTGAATTGTCGTTGACTGTGCCTTATAACCCCTTCAAGGTCGACATCTTTCAGATAGGCTGCACAATTTTTGCGTTATTCATGGTCCGTTGTTTGCCATCATCATGTCATCTACTGAAATGCTATAGAATTATGGCGGGCTTGATGAGTTCAAAGCTTTTTTCAGACCTCTGTGTGCGCCGCGTCCCGAGGACAGACCCACGGCAATGGAGGCTCTCACGGCATTCGAAGGCTTCGTCAGCGCCATGAAATCTCATAGACGAAAGTATCTCGTTTGGAATAAGGAAGAGTTCTTTCACCCTCGCATCGTATCGCGCGCGCTTGTGCGCATCTGTCCCCCCTTAAACCGCTTCCTATAAAGGAATATCTGTGGTCTGTAACTCTTCTTTAAACGGAATAAATTGTAGAGTGTCTCACACGCACCTGTGTGGCCATGTTCGCAAGTCGAGACCGCGCTTCTCGGTTGCTTAGTCTTGTTTGGCTCAAGTTTGGCTCCTATTGATATTTCTCACCTCCCACTATCTATGAGCGCTACAATCGAGTGCAATGCAGAAAATGCTTCCATTGATCCTTTCCCTCTCGAAATGTCCATTCAACCTTTTCTTGAATCACGAGACTACCGGCTTCGTCCGCGCTTTCATCCAAACTGGGAACCATCTTGGATTCGAAAAGGGATGACTTACGACGAAGCCTTTGATCTTCGACTTGAAGACTCGATGGACATAGTGGTACCAGCCGTTGCATCCTGTTTCTGGCTGCAACTCATGCTTATATTTTCAGTGTCTCGCCGACCTCGTCGACGCCATCGCACCCGACGGTCGCAAGGTCGTCTTGAAACGCGTGGCAAAGGGATCCAATGAGGAGACCATGTCCATTCGGCTCAATGCTCTAGACAAGGAGGATCCTTTCAACCACTTGGCTCCGCTGCTTGACACCATCGACTTGCCGAACGATGAACAAGTCATCCTCGTGATACCTTGCTTCCGTTCTTGTGAGGAGGATCCTTCCTTCCATTGCCGAGAGGAGGTCATAGAATATGCAAGACAGCTTCTCGAGGTATAGTGACTGTATCATACCTCAAGACTTGTATCTTAGATGCTGTTTAGGGCATCGTGTTCTTGCATTCTCACAATTTTTCCCACCGGTAAGATTTCGCTCGGGGGTTCTCTTCACCACCTCTAACGTTTAGCAGTGACATTTGCGCCTCAAACATCCTCATGGATTCTAGCCGGGTTGTACCAAGCGGGTTTCATTTTGCTGCGCCCGAATTACAAGAAGGCGACAACTGCAAGTGGGTGAAGACGCGGCGGCGCTGTCGGGTCCGACCGGTCAAGTACTTCTTCATAGACTTCGAATCTGTAAGTTTTCATCCGGAAGGTCCGGAGAACGCTCGGGTGCTTGGTCTCTTTGGGCAGTACAACGTCATGCCCGAATTGTCACTGTCCGTACCCTATAATCCCTTCAAGGTTGACATTTTTCCAGGCGGCTTGGACAATCCTTGCGTTATTCAGGGTTGGTCTTTTCTTCGCGCATAAAAACATGTACTGAGATGGTGCAGAATTACGGTGGTCTCGATGATTTCAAAGACTTCTTCCAGACATTTTGCTCACGACGCCCTGAGGATAGACCTACTGCCGCGGAGGCTCTCACGGCATTTGAGAGTTTCATTAGCGCCATGAAGCCTCATGAGCGAAACTACCTTGTCTGGAATAAGGAAGAACTCTTTCACCCTCGCATCATCCAGCGCTCGCTTGTGCGCATATGTCCACCATTAAATCGTTTCCTTTAGATGTTGTGCTGTCAAAGGTTACTTGGGCTCGACTCGGTAGAGAACACGAACAGACTTTGTGTGGTGTTTGCTGAAATATAGCTTCCCCTTGAGCATGCCGTTGTATAGAGGCTCCTACTGAGCGGCGTTAACGAAACCGCACATGATTAACCATGTCGTTCATAGGCGTCTGACAAGAAAGACATAATATGTCGGGTCACAAGTATATCCTCGTTCACACTCTGTTCAATGTCGATCGCGTCAATCATAGGATGGTTGACCTGAGGACCGCCGGGCACATCTCGCGTGTGGCGTAGTGTGGCGTAATTATCGAATCATCATTGCTACCGCGATCGTCGTCTATGCACGGCGCTATAGCCAAGTGGTTACGGCGACAGATTAGAATACTTCGCAGATGTCACAGTATTTCATCTGTTCCTCTTTGAGGGCGCAGGTTCAAATCCTGCTGGCGTCGTGGTCTGGAAAGGTGTGACAAAAACGAGTTTTTCTTGTCTAAACTTGGAATTTTGGTTATCTCGGATACCGGCACGTGATGTGGCGCAGGCGACTGTCGCGCGTCGACCTCATCTAGGGTCGTGGAAATAACCTCGGGGGGTGGTAAATAACCGTTATTTACCTACCCTCGCAGAGGTCCAGGTTATTTACCGGTTAAAAACGGTTATTTACCTGCACGTGATATTTTCACGTGACGTCTCCGCGGGCAGTGCCATGCATGTCATCAAGCATGTCATTGCAGCAGCCGTCAACTGTTTTCAGTCTTTCCCCTCCAGATGTCACACTTTCCTTGGTCCCATCAGAGTCAGATAGATTTTAATGGCAATAGTAACTTTGCTTGCCTCTGAATATAGTGCATACTACCTTTTTCCGTGCGCCACCCATCACGTGGATATGTCACGTGCAGGTAAATAACCTACCTCCAACCAACCTCCAACAGACTTAGGTTACAAACCGGTAAATAACCGGTAATTTACCGGGAAACAACCTCTTGGTACTCTAACCTAGGTTGTTTCCACTACCCTAACCTCATCCCGCACCACCCTACCATCACAGTTAACTCGTGAACGATGACGCCATTTTGGTTGTGCCTTGTTTGCACCAAGAAGCACAAAGTTGTGCAAGCATGACCACACTTTCTCTTTCGCCTACCTCCTTTCCCCGATGTTCTCAGAATGCCAGACTCCCAGAGATTCTACTTGTTTGTATAATACAATCGAGTCTGCTTACTCCCTTATTAGACTTTCATTTAATAGAAGCTCTTTGCAGTTGATGGTGTTGCACCGCTGCGTCCGAGGCAGGGCCGAAAGTTGTTGAATCTGAGAGTTCTAGTTCAACTTGAGAACTGCCCGATCTGCCGTAGTTGTTGAAAATAAATCGTAGAGACATGCGTACAAATAATCTTCCAGAGTCCACGATATAGACCGGTAATTGGAGTCCTTCACTCCGTACCCGAACCCTCGCTTTCTGCAGCTATCCGCTCGTCCACAATCCTGTTCGTCTCGTGCCAGAGAAGCATATCCCTCCAACAACATACTGGGGACATAATTTTGTCTTTATACGCGGCGACGTGCGAATGGTGTGCATTGACGACGCGTATGGCGCCCGATCGCGCGTACATGGAGAACACGCATCCTACTCTGAGATGAGGGTACACCTCGTGGACAGCGTCAAACACGGAGAGAATGAGCGGACACACGTCGATCATGCGGAAGTTTAAAATGAGGAGGGATGGGAAGATGGGTAGCTGGTTGAAGCGGGAGATATTCGTAGGACCTGTGTATATTTCGAGCTCGGTGAGAACAGGAAACCAGCTGTCCTCTGTTGCTTCTAGAGACGCGTCCACGAGAGTGTTCATGTGCACCGATAGTCTCCGGAGGTGTCTAAAGTGCGCTAGAAAGCGCAAGTTGGATATCTCGAGAAGGTCGCTGTTCCAAAAGGCGAGGGAGAGAAGATTGATGCATTTTTGTATGAAGGGGATGATTAGGTCCAGACGCGTGAAGTTGGTGACACAGAGGTGCTTCACGAAACGGTGGTTGGGCTCTATCAGTGGAATGATGTGGCCGTCGAGTTTAGGAGAGTGCCCGAGACCCTCAACGACGATTAGGTGCGCGTACAGCGCTGGTTTGACCCTAATAACTGTGAGCAACTCTATCGAAGAAATAAAAGGCCTCTCTGACCAGTGATAGACTTGCCGACTGACCAGCATATATTTGGCGCAATCCTCAGTACCCGCTTCTGCCGCCAGCTCAAATATCTCCCATTCCAATTCCGGGGGCAGTTTGGGTATCAATGTCATGATGGTCGGGAAAGAGTGGCTGATCACTGGTCACCGCTTGACACCTAACCACCACCACCATCAACATGGCCGACGACAACTCGCTCGCAGCCTCTCTCAACGGCGGCGACTATTCCAACATCTACGGAATAATAGACAAAGACAAGTGAGCCGCCTGTCTACTCCCGTCGTGACCGTCCAAACGAGGCGCAGCGTCCACGGCCTCAATCTGACCGTTCCCGAGGACGCCAAAGCAGTAATCAAGCCATGGGACCAGAGAGACGACACGGAATATTATGCAGAGTCTGGTGTAGATGACCAGGTGCGCTGTCTACTATCTCTGCGAGCAATGCTGACAAGGACCGATGATAGATGATCATTCACGTTCCGTTCACGCAGAACGTAAAGCTAAAGTCTGTCCTGCTGAAGCTCGGTAGGTATCATGCTTGTATAATGTAGCAAAGGAGCTCATCTGTGCCTAGGTAGAGGCGAGACGACTCCGCGGCATCTACGGATATACGCAAACCATCCCACCATCGTAGACTTTTCAGACGCGGACAATACCAAACCGCAAGTTGACATCAGCTTACTCGAAGGAGAGACCGGTGTGATGGAATACCCTCTACGCGTCGCTGCTTTCACCAGCATCACGTCTTTGAGTCTTTTCTTTGTACGCCACATTCTTGACTATCAACATCACCGTTTGTATTCATCTTTACTTCTACAGAGCGAAAGCGTCGGTGGAGACTCATCCCAACTTTATTATCTCGGATTCAAAGGAGAACTTCGTACCCCGCAGAAGGATGCCAACACTAAACTAGACATTCCCGCTGCCAATGCGGCAGATGCAGCTCTGTTCGACCGTCTAGCTGAGAAATCGGGAGGACAGCAGACGACTGCGCGATAATGAGAAACTAGACTGTTGTAATTTAGATGTATGTTAATGGCAAAGGGCACAAATTCTTTTGGAAGGAACCTATTAGCAGTATCACACGATCGCAGTCGGGTGTACGAAAGGATACCATATCTTCACGGTATAGCCGCCAACTTGTCGTGAGAGGCTGCCACTTTAGCAGCTAGACTGGTCATTGAAGCCAGGTTGGTTGGGCTGATTGGCATCCCAGTAGAACACAATGTAACTTGCCTCGTCGGTCAGGAAACGGCCAAATCAATTTAATCAACATCAACGGACCAACGCACAAGAAAGGTTCTTAGGCTTCCGTGAAGGGCATTATTCTACACCATCCATCCACCACCACCCACACAAATACGCTAGTTACGAAGAAAGATAAGAAATAAATACCGTACCGGCGAGGAATCACCACTGGCCATATGATGATCCACCACACTGGTATGTGGGGGCGGCAGCGATGGGCTCGGAGAGGCGAGCAGCGGACACGGTGGTAGTGGTGGGAACCTTCGGGTAGCCAGGTTGAACATGAGAAATCGTTGAGCATCAGACGACGCACTGTTGGTCTCAACGATGGGTCGGCTGCAGCTGACCGATTAAACCCAGGCTCCGAACCCAGCCGTCGCTGCCGTTTCACGCAAAATACTGTGGCGGCGAAAGGAAGGTCGGACCGGATGTGATTAATAATATGATCACATGTACGGAGCCAATCAGAACAAGAGCAACGGGAAGGTGAAACGACAGGACGGCTGGCACAACTCCTGCGGCAAGATTCTCGGCATCCGCCTGCCAAACACAACACGCACCGCACATGCGACGTCGCGCGACGCGCGCCTTGGTTCAATGGTTGACCGTGGCGCAGTCCTAATAAGTTTAATATACTTCCTGTATCTCCAAAATAATATGTATCATCTTATTCATGTATTGACCATGGTCCCGGCTCCCAACCAACCCGTACGCGCACCAATATTAAATTTACAGGTGCTCCTCATTTACAAGTGCATTGAGCAGTCAGGAAATTTATATTTGTACATAACTTGGCAGAAAGCTTCATTCCACACCCCTTCAGCTACAGTGTATAGATAACCATGCATGGAACTACGATACTGACGGAGGCACGCGTTGTGGTTACCGTGCGCACTGCGCGTGTTATGTTTGGCAGGCGGATGCCGAGAATCTTGCCGCAGGAGTTGTGCCAGCCGTCCTGTCGTTTCACCTTCCCGTTGCTCTTGTTCTGATTGGCTCCGTACATGTGATCATATTATTAATCATATCCGGTCCGACCTTCCTTTCGCCGCCACAGTATTTTGCGTGAAACGGCAGCGACGGCTGGGTTCGGAGCCTGGATTAAACCGCGATCCTGACAATTATATCGTTCAGGAGGAGCCATCCTAGCCTAGACGGTTTGGGGCTTGCACTACATGGACGGTCTGTCTTTCAAGTACTCAACATCCAGCGCTACGCCTTAAGCGAAGAGGATAACCTGGCAGCCTTCACCAGAGCCTACAGACGATGGTTAGTTGTGTACATGGAAAAAGATACAGTGTCGTACAAAGTGCCGAACCAAGTCCCGTTCGACGGGAATATGTTCTTGGTGGTGCACCTCATCGTCCGGGAGCACAGGCGGGCGGGTGGTCGGAGCCTCCAACACGCGCGCGGAAAATCGCTGAGCACGATAATCCGCGAGACGCTTGACGATCCGTACGCCTTCGTCGTCCCCGCCTGCTTGCAGCGTGTGAACAAGAAGGCGCACAATGTTCTCCGGCAGACGCACATGAGCGCTGCGGTGGAACATGTTGACCGCCTGCGCGATCCAGCCGCCGTGGCAGCACGCCTCGATGATCAACGCTCTATATCGATCTCTGCTCGGCCGCAGACTGGGTATGCGTTTCTCGTACTTTTCAGCCTCGTACGCCAGCTTGCGGAGGTACTGCGCGCCGTAGCCCGCCGAGTGATACCGCAGGAACAAGGACGTGAAGGGCGACCACACGTCCTTGAGGTATCCCTTCCTCGCCGCGACGAGAGCGAGCGTCTTCAGCGGCGGAACATTCAACCGCGGCTCCCCAGTTTTGGTCAGATAGTTGAGGATCTCCTGGAATGGGTGCACCCACTGCAGGGCCTCGTGTTTGTCGGGCACGAGAGACAGCCAGGTGACAAACGCCCTTTGCGCGTGCTTGTAGTCCGCTTTGACGCTCTGTCTGCCGAGATGGTGCATCGCCGCATCGAGGTAGATGACATCGTGTTTGATGGGTATAGCGAGGTAATCGAGGTG